ATTTCAAAGTTATCATTTAGCTTAGAAATTAAGAAGCTATCATTTATCAAACACGGTTTTAAACAGATTTTAATGTTATAATAGCTCAGCTAATTCCTTTTTTAATTTTAGCGACAACAAAATATTGTAAACTAAATTTATTTATTGACTTTTTTAGAAGTGAAATTGTTTATGATGGAAAAGAAATACAAAATTGTAACATTCATCCCTTTTCTCTCCTTTTTAAAGTGCGGAATTACCGTTTTATGGCACAAAAAAACTTTTGATCCAATTGCCGAAAAAATCTAAATAATTTAATGTGTTGGAACAGTTTCTGTATTGAATCCATATTTCTCGAATATTCCTTAAATGTATATCAAACTGTTTCAATTTCATATCTCAGAAGAAAAACATAAACTTTGTGTATTGCTTGAAATGTTGTAAATTGCTCTCAATTTTACTCTCAATTTTATTACTCTAACATTCAAACTTTTATTTTACTGTTAACATTTCAGCTTGTAAATCCATTGTTTTAATAACTTCCCATTGCAGTGCTCCACTTTGACAGTCACCATTGTAACAAACGTTATAAACCAGCTCCCACTATATAAAGAGTAAAGATCATCTGATAGCTCTCAATTTGTTGTAAGCCAATGCTCATTGTACAAAAGGAGTTGAAACATTATTTGGAGGTTTTGGTTTGGTTCATCTCAGCAACACTCACTCACTCAGTTCACTTCACAAAAGGTGACATCAGAGTTGCCGCCAAAATGGTGACACACCAGTTGCCGCCAAAATGGTGAAGCTATAACCTAATGAACAAAGGCTATTGTTTTAAATGACTTTAATCCACTTTGTAACCTTAACACCCATAAAATCCCTCCCAATTTTCTTCCTTACAAAACCATTGTTTGGTATTGTCTCGAATAAATCATCTCTCCTTTTTAAATTGTAAACAATTTTACGGTATTCACACATGTAATTTTAATCTCCTTTTTGTAAACACCTCCAATTCTTTATGCATGTAATTTTTTCTGTAACACTGAAATTAGCTTTCATTTTAATCTCTTCGTTATAAACACTTCCAATTCTTCACACATGTGATTTTTATCTTAGACACGCCCAATCCTCACTCATATAAATTCAATTCTAATAAACAAAAAGGATGCATTGTCATTATTGTCGACTACTTTCTGTTAACCAATATCAATTCCTCCGATCTTCCTTATTATAAGTTTCTTCTCTCCTTTTACTGCTCTGTTTATTAATACTACGTTTGCGAAAAATAAAGGCTTATTAATCCTTCTATTGTATTGCAAACAATTCGAATATCAACCAACAAACCCTTCACGACAACAAAATTTATTGGTGCCACAAGCGGGGATTGTATCGTTGTTTTTGTTCCGGTTTGGTAGTTGTAGATTTAATATTGATTTGAGTGAGTGAATGTTGACAGTTTCTAATCTGTTCATTCACATTAACTAAACTTGTTAAAAAGTTTCTTAGTTTGAGAATTGACCAAGGCATGTTCTTCTTCTTATGTTTATATATTTTATTCAATATCCATAATGGCAACTTGCTGTCGATCAAAATTTCGATATTTGAGTGTTCGAGGCTTTCTCCTAGAGCTTCTAACTGCGTAGTACTCGTTCTATATTTTCAATTGTTCCAATCCATTCTCTTTCATTTCGTTTAATTGATTGGAGTTCGTTGTATAGTAATGTTGTTACTTTTGAGTGGTCGCCATATTTCTCATTGAGCAGTCTTCTGATAACTTCATAATTCTCTGAAGCTATATCATATCCAGATATTGCTTGTAGAGCTTTTCCTTTGAGACATGAATACCAGTAATTCAATTTTTGTATTTCTGGAATCGCTTGTATGTGGACTGCTGCGTTAAAACTGCTCCAAAATTGTCGCCATTGTCTTGGGTCTCCATCGAAAGTAGGGAGCGATAAATGAGGAAGATTTACATTAATATTTGAAGAAGGAGTAAATTTTGCCTCTTCTTTTGTTTGTTTGTTCGTCAACTCCTTTGAGAGCTGTTTTAAGTTTTGGTCGACTTCATCCTTGTGCATTGTTAGTGTTATTACCGCTTCCTTTCCTTCGTGTAATAATTGAAATATTCCTTGGTCACCTTCTGTTACTGTTTTTTATTTTTCTTCCTCTTCTTCTCTTCTTTTCATCGTGACGATTTGTTGAGTATATGTGAACCATTTATCGTTGATAGATTCAAGCGTAATTATGCATAATTGAATTCTTCGAAGTTTATCTTCTAACACTCTTTTTCTTATTACATAAAAATCTTTTTTTTTTTATTGTCATACTTGGTTCTGGGAGATTTGATCTCCAGTTGATTTACTTCTTTAAGAAGACTGACTAACCTTTCCTTTTCCGGTTGAAAGCTCGCAATAATGTGGCTTGACATGTTCCCGGCTCGTTGCACCAATAAATTTTGTTATCGTGAAGGGTTTGTTGGTTGATATTCGAATTGTTAGCAATACAATAGATGGATTAATAAGCCTTTATTTTTCGCAAACGTAAAGCTCGCAATAATGTGGCTTGACATGTTCCCGGCTCGTGGCACCAATAAATTTTGTTATCGTGAAGGGTTTGTTGGTTGATATTCAAATTGTTAGCAATACAATAGAAGGATTAATAAGCCTTTATTTTTCGCAAACGTAAAGCTCGCAATAATGTGGCTTGACATGTTTTGCTAACAATTCGAATATCAACCAACAAACCCTTCACGATAACAAAATTTATTGGTGCAACGAGCCGGGAACATGTCAAGCCACATTATTGCGAGCTTTCAACCGGAAAAGGAAAGGTTAGTCAGTCTTCTTAAAGAAGTAAATCAACTGGAGATCAAATCTCCCAGAACCAAGTATGACAATAAAAAAAAAAAGATTTTTATGTAATAAGAAAAAGAGTGTTAGAAGATAAACTTCGAAGAATTCAATTATGCATAATTACGCTTGAATCTATCAACGATAAATGGTTCACATATACTCAACAAATCGTCACGATGAAAAGAAGAGAAGAAGAAGAAAAATAAAAACAGTAACAGAAGGTGACCAAGGAATATTTCAATTATTACACGAAGGAAAGGAAGCGGTAATAACACTAACAATGCACAAGGATGAAGTCGACCAAAACTTAAAACAGCTCTCAAAGGAGTTGACGAACAAACAAACAAAAGAAGAGGCAAAATTTACTCCTTCTTCAAATATTAATGTAAATCTTCCTCATTTATCGCTCCCTACTTTCGATGGAGACCCAAGACAATGGCGACAATTTTGGAGCAGTTTTAACGCAGCAGTCCACATACAAGCGATTCCAGAAATACAAAAATTGAATTACTGGTATTCATGTCTCAAAGGAAAAGCTCTACAAGCAATATCTGGATATGATATAGCTTCAGAGAATTATGAAGTTATCAGAAGACTGCTCAATGAGAAATATGGCGACCACTCAAAAGTAACAACATTACTATACAACGAACTCCAATCAATTAAACGAAATGAAAGAGAATGGATTGGAAGAATTGAAAATATAGAACGAGTACTACGCAGTTAGAAGCTCTAGGAGAAAGCCTCGAACACTCAAATATCGAAATTTTGATCGACAGCAAGTTGCCATTATGGATATTGAATAAAATATATAAACATAAGAAGAAGAACATGCCTTGGTCAATTCTCAAACTAAGAAACTTTTTAACAAGTTTAGTTAATGTGAATGAACAGATTAGAAACTGTCAACATTCACTCACTCAAATCAATATTAAATCTACAACTACCAAATCGGAACAAAAACAATGATACAATCCCGGCTCGTGGCACCAATAAATTTTGTTGTCGTGAAGGGTTTGTTGGTTGATATTCGAATTGTTTGCAATACAATAGAAGGATTAATAAGCCTTTATTTTTCGCAAACGTAGTATTAATAAACAGAGCAGTAAAAGGAGAGAAGAAACTTATAATAAGGAAGATCGGAGGAATTGATATTGGTTAACAGAAAGTAGTCGACAATAATGACAATGCATCCTTTTTGTTTATTAGAATTGAATTTATATGAGTGAGGATTGGGCGTGTCTAAGATAAAAATCACATGTGTGAAGAATTGGAAGTGTTTATAACGAAGAGATTAAAATGAAAGCTAATTTCAGTGTTACAGAAAAAATTACATGCATAAAGAATTGGAGGTGTTTACAAAAAGGAGATTAAAATTACATGTGTGAATACCGTAAAATTGTTTACAATTTAAAAAGGAGAGATGATTTATGATACTATGAAATTGGTTAGAAGTTTTCGCGAAATTATAATTCGCGACAGGTATGGCTCGGCTGCGAGGTGTCGAGCTTGCTTGTATCTTTAAATGTTTTATAATTAAGTTACATTTGTGTTATGTATCAATTCGTTATTGTAATGTTGTATAATATTTAATGTTAATCTAAGGTTTAATTACCCAAGTTTGAGTTTAAGGTTTGAATAATAAAATGTTTCACGAAGACTCCCAAAGTACACGTACACAGAACGGAACCAGTACAAATTCGAGATTCTACCAGTATCGAGGACAAAGAAGTCAACGATCTGAACCATCAAGAAAGGAAGCTACTTTGTTTCACAAGGAAACAGGGCAGTAAGAAAGAAATTCTAAATTTGCTTTATACCAGTAACAGTAACACTGCTGAAGCGAAAGGAAAGCGACAGTTGAGAGAAAGTGTGACAATTTGACGAATATTTGATGGACTGTTGGTGTAGTAATATTCATTTTATTCATTTTTTTTTTATTGTATAACAATAAAGTTAGCGAAGTTATAACAACAAAAATATCCATTTCAAAACTTTTCCTACATCGATTAATCTTCAAGAAGCTCAAGAATATATATATTCAAGAAGATATAGAATGCTGCACGATGATCTCATTAATTTATCGAACGGACATAGCAATTATTGCCAATATTCCCACTTAATCGTCTCCATGAGATATTGTTTGAAAATTTGACCAAATGCGCCAAATTAATGCGACAAACGTCTTGAAGGTTCTAATCGGTAAACTGTTGTTACTTGCTGCATTTTATGTTTCGTTTGCAAATTTACGGTATTCTTTAGACATGGAAGCTTCTTGAATTGTTTTCTAAATGCGTTCCGATATTCTTCACTGCAATATTTTTTATGATCACAGCAATAGATCCAGTCTATCAATATTGTCAGTCACTGAGGTATGCTTCCAACATAAAACGTAAATATTTGAAGTTAACATTTAAACATATTTTTTCACAAGAAGTTTCAGTTAATTTTTACCTTCTCCAGTAGTAAAATAACCAATTGAATGAAACGCTTATATTAATAAATACTCCCGCATAGCATCCTATATAAAACGTCGCGATTTTGGAAATATTCAAGAACCTTCCGATCATATAAATCGTCGTTGATGCTAAATGTCCCAATCCAACAAATGCCACTGTTATCTTTAATGTTTGTAACAATTCGAAATTTCTAGTTGCTGAAATTAAAAGTGAGGTAGTACTACAGCATCCACTTCAATTATTGTTAATTAATTAGACTCTACCATGGCAGTTGAATAGTAAACAAAACAAAAAATATTTTCGGTGACATAGAACATCCAGGTTAATGCTTTGTTTGCATGTCTTTTGTTAATTATTTAAATAATTTACATATTTCAGCCTTTACGATAATTCGACTAAGTACTGCATAAAGGGTAATTGTTGCTAAATTAAGAAAAGTTGCCAGAATGCCCCAAATCCAATCGAACTGACCACTGTATATTGCTACCAAAACACATACTACTTTGTCACTGCAATTAAAGTAGAAAGACTCAAAATGACAATTAAAAAAATCAAATTTCAATATATTTTCAATAAATATTTCAAGCATCGAACATCTCATATACTTCTTTTTTTTTAATTTAGAAATTTTGTTACTTTTGTCTTTTTTCCTTCTTAATAACAAGGTTTTTTTTCAGGTTCATTTCACGTTTCACTCTTTCTTTTCTTATTTTCCATAACAGTATGCAAATTTCTGCCTATTTTTCTCAATGAAATGCAGGAGTTTTCTCACAAATAACGAGTAACTTCCAATTTCCATTTGCATTTGCATCAGTTTTCTCAGATAAAATTTCTCTGATAATCACAGATCAGACATTTAATTCGAGAAAAACCTGAAAATGTAACTTACTCGTTATTTATGGCATATATACAAGCCAATATAAGTATAACAATTGCATAAAGTGTCGCTGGTATGGTCATTAATGGAATTGAAATTCTCCTTCTCATTGTTCGATAGCTATAAATGACCATTACAGTTTTGTTATTTAGAAAACATATTGGAGTTCGAAAGAAGACAACAAATAATTTAGCTTTGCCATTAGCAAATTTAATTAAATTTACTTATTCTGTTCAAATACCTTAAAGGTTTTAAAATGGCCATGGATCGATCTATGCCGGTAAAAAGTAATATAGCCATTGCAAAATTTAGACCGAAATTCGGTAATAATTGTATCCAAATACATGTCCACAATGGTGTAAAAGTAATTCCAGTAAAAATAAAATATGCAAATGGAATATGGCCGATTTGATGAAGAATATCACCAAATGCGCTCAATGCTATTAATATATTATTGACATTGCGCAGGTTCCTGAAAGAATTTTTACAAATTATAAGAATTTGAAACTTTTGAAAATTTTGGACTTGAAATTGGAATATGCAAAAAAGGCTCAAAAATTTGCTGTGCAAAAGATTGTAAATATTTGCAAAATCTTTCAATTTTATATGAAATTATATACGTACAATGATGGGATTTTACTTTTCAATCAATATTTTCTCTCCGCTTTCCCTTTAAAATATTCTCTGATTCTTTTGATTGTTTATTTTGATCTTAAAATCTCATAAATTAATGGCACAACCGTTTTATGCGTCTCATTCCTTCTTCATAAAATTATATTTAAATATTGAGGAAAGGTACAATCACCAATGATAAAGCTATTATTGAATATTCAATGATCGCAAGAAATCAATCAATCAATCAATTAATTGATCAATAACATACTTGTTCTGAATAGTAGCTATAATGAGCGCAGTATTGCCAACGAATCCAATTAAGGAACAAAATAAAAAAAAGGATACACATGGTATGATTGGTACCAAAACAGCCATTTTGGCACTTAACTGACCATAAGCTAAAAGAGTTTAAATTTTATTCTTGTCTGTAAATAGCAACACTACACATATTTCTAATCATCCACAAACCTAAATCAAATTTATGGATAACTTATAAAATAGTGTGAAAAATACTTTGAATTCAGCTATTTAAGCTATATATGCAGATAAATGGGAGATTTATAAGAAAATATTGGGCATCCATAAAGTATCTCTGAATTAGTAATGAGTAAATACATTTTGGATCCCATTTATATATCAAATAAAGTTAGAATACTTATGGCTCAATGAAGTGTAAACAACATATCTTATGATTTATTTGATAGATAGTCATTAATTAATGTCATTCATTGCAAGTTGCGCTTTATGATAAAAGTAGAAGGAATGAGAGAAATTTATGGGAAATGAGAGTTTCTTGAAATTTTTTGTAAATTATTTCAAAAATATTTGAATACACAAATTAATTCGTTTACAATGAATGGCTGAAATGAGAAATAGCAATTGGTACTCAAAAACTTATGTATTCTTAAGCTATTTTACTGCAGAAGAATGGTTTATCAACTAATTAACACTTGTTAAATTACTATTAAAATTATTCACAGATATAATTTAACATTACTACCAATCCTAAAGAACATAGTTTGATAAATATTACTATATAAGAAATCAATTTTACTTTTAATATATAATATAAAAAACTCTTAATTATCTATATTGATCTTTCAAATAGATTAATAAACAATTATAACTATATCAATGGCTGATCAATCTTTTCGATAAAAAAACATTAGCGCATGGCGCATATTTAAAAATTTGTCTAATATTTATTTTCATGACTTACATAAAGTTGATTCCTTACTCAAATTATATTCTTTCAAGCTATTAGATTGAAGGAAAGTATTTGCAGGAGAGATTATTCCAGAGATGACTAAATAAAATTGCTGTCAACTTGTCAACTAACTATATTCATTCTATCTAATCCATTTGTGCGATTAGCATTAATCAAAGTTATCCACTCAAACATACATGACGCAAACGCTTAAGTTAATTATAGTTGAAAAATCACTTTGCAATTTGTGCTAATCTACTTGTCTTGCAAAGAAATGGATCAAATGAAAAATTAAGCTTGCAACAATGAAGTTCGTTTTATATTTTTAAAATTTTTAATTAAAAAAAAAATCATTCAAAATTTTATGACAGAAAAGTTTTGTTAAATTTTTTCTGGAGTAATTATAAATTTTTGTTAAATTTTGCAATGAATAAAATATAAAAGTAAATCAGATGAAATAGCTAATTTACATTTAAATGTGATTTAATATAAGCTATCAATTCATATGTAACTTTGACATATTATTCAAAATGAAAAGAAAGAATTCGATGTAATTTAAGTTTTTTTACTTAGTTCGTTCTCTCAAGTTTCTAAATAATTTAAATTTTTGATATTACTATTGTAATTTCTGAAAGATAAGTCTTAGCATAACTTTTGGGTTAGGATATGTTTTATTCAAAACGTAAAGAATGAAAGGAAAAAGCTGATAACCACCAATATTAGCTGATAACCAAACAAAAGTCTTAGTTAACGTGGCGTGAAAAGTCGAAGAGGATTAGAAGGATAAGGTAAAAAATAAGGTGTCTTAATGGCCAAGATGGAATATTCAGCTCTTTATCAGCTCAGCGACATTACCGCTCCTTAGCAAAAATTCTTTGTGAACATAAATATCTGTAGTTGCCACCATGTCACATACCTAATTTGATTACCAAGTAAGGTCAGTCCACAGTAAGGGGGTCATTAACGACTTGTATATGATATTTCGATGCAGCTACTTGGCTATGTTATAATTCATCGTTTCTAGGCCGTAGAGCCATCCGAAGATATTCCTTTGTTGCTGAAATTAAAGATGGAGCAATGCTATTAGTAATAATCAATTCAAATAATCATAATAACTTATTTGCAAGGCTTTTATTTACTAATCAATTAAAATGCTCGCTTATTTCAGTCATTACTACAATTTGGCTCAAAATCCCATAAAGAATAATTATTGTTCAATTAATGAGAGTTATTAAAATGCTCTAAATGAAATCAACAAACTACTTTAAATAGCTAAAACAGCACAGACTACTTTGACGTTGTAATGAAAACTAAAAGTTATCAAACTATAATTGAGGAAAATTCTCATTTCAAACATCGAACATGAAAATTTGAAGTTTTCGTTTTCTGTTCATTTATTTTTTTAAGTTCACTTTTTCATTTTAAACTCATTTCTTCGTTTCTTATTTTCCACAACAGAGAAATAAATTTCTGCTTATTTTCTTGAAGCAATTATTGAAAGTCAGGCAAGAATTTTTGACCACAGATGAATTGATATTTTGCTTCAATTTTTTTCAAGAAAATTTATTAAAGTATTTGATGGTCAGATATTATACTTAACCTGAGAGATACCTATCAAAAATCTTACTCGTTATTTCCATCATATATAAAAACCAATATGAGCATAGCAACTGCATAAAGTATTGCTGGTAGAGTCATTATTGGAATATAAAGCATTTTACCCATTTTTCGATATCTGCAAATAACCATTACAGTTCTGAACTTTAGAACTATTATTCGAATTTAAAACAAAGTAAATAACTTAGCATTGCCATTTGAGAAAGACAACTATCAGTAAGCAGTAAGCTAGAGAGATTGAAGTTACTTGTACTGCCCAAATACTTAACTTTAAAGGTCTTAAAATGGCCATGCTCGATCTATGGTAGTAATCAACTATCAGTAAGCAGTAAGCAATAAGCTAGAGAGATTGAAGTTACTTGTACTGCCCAAATACTTACTTTAAAGGTCTTAAAATGGCCATGGCTCGATCTATGCCTATAGCTAGTAATCAATTATCAGTAAGCAGTAAGCTAGAGAGATTGAAGTTACCTGTACTGCCCAAATACTTACTTTAAAGGTCTTAAAATGGCCATGGCTCGATCTATGCCTATAGCAAGTAATCAACTATCAGTAAGCAGTAAGCTAGAGAGATTGAAGTTACTTGTACTGCCCAAATACTTACTTTAAAGGTCTTAAAATGGCCATGGCTCGATCTATGCCTATAGCTAGTAATCAATTATCAGTAAGCAGTAAGCAATAAGTTAGAGAGATTGAAGTTACTTGTACTGCCCAAATACTTACTTTAAAGGTCTTAAAATGGCCATGGCTCGATCTATGGTAGTAATCAACCACCAGTAAGCAGTAAGCAGTAAGCTAGAGAGATTGAAGTTACTTGTACTGCCCAAATACTTAACTTTAAAGGTCTTAAAATGGTCATGGCTCGATCTATGGTAGTAATCAACTATCAGTAAGCAGTAAGCAGTAAGCTAGAGAGATTAAAGTTACTTGTACTGTCCAAATACTTACTTTAAAGGTCTTAAAATGGCCATGGCTCGATCTATGCCTATAGCTAGTAATCAACTATCAGTAAGCAGTAAGCTAGAGAGATTGAAGTTACTTGTACTGCCCAAATATTTACTTTAAAGGTCTTAAAATGGCCATGGCTCGATCTATGCCTATAGGTAGTAATCAACTATCAGTAAGCAGTAAGCTAGAGAGATTGAAGTTACTTGTACTGCCCAAATATTTACTTTAAAGGTCTTAAAATGGCCATGGCTCGATCTATGCCTATAGGTAGTAATATAATCATTGAGAAATTCATGCCAAAATTGGGTAATAACTGTATCCAAATACATTTCCATAAAGGTATGGAAGTGATTCCAGTAAAAATAAAGTATGCAAATGGAATATGGCCGATTTGATGAAGAATGTCACCAAATGCGCCCAATGCTATTAATATATTATTGACATTGTGCAGATGCCTGGAATTTTTTGTAAATTTAAAAGTGAGCAAATTTTTTTTTTTAAACTTTGAAATGGAATACACCAAGAGATGCAAAAATTAGTTACTTAAAATATTTTAAAAAATCTTTCAAATTCACATCAAATTATATAAGCAAATTGATGAAACTTTCCTTTTCAATTTATATTTTCTCTCTGTTTCTTCTCTGAAACATTTACTGAACCTTTTAAATTCCTTATTTTGATCTTAACCAATTTTATGTCACATAGCTATCACAGATCAATATGATGATGATCAATATTATATGTCACTTTCTCACTTACTTCAAACATTAGCTGATGTCAGAATTGATATTCTATTGCTTTAACAGTCTAATGGCGAAAAAACAAACAAACAAACTTAATATTTATTATTAAAATTAAAATTTGTCACAAAAAGAATTACAAATATACTTTTCATCCAAATAAAGTGTATAATTTCTAATTTTTTATAATTCATATGATAATGTCATATGAAAAAGAATTATAATAATAATAAGTTATTGTTATAAAGTAAAAAAAGATTTCACTGAGAAATCCATCAGAGATTACAATGAAAGTCAATGTTCAATCACTGATAAATTAAAATTTGGTAAATGATAATGGATCAGTTACACAGCTGATAACAACGAATTTATAAATGTAACTCATTGTTCTAATTATTACTATAATTATCATTGTACTAATAATTCTAGTCATGCTAATAACTGTAGTTATTAACAATAACAATAATAATAATAATAATAATAATAATAATAGTAATAATAATAGTAATAATATCATATGATAAACGAGTAAATTAATTAATATTAGTAGTGCTAGTACTAAAAATAATAGTAATAATGATAATAATAGCAACAACATTAACAATAACAATAATAATAACAATAATTTTGATAACCCTTTGAAATTGTTTAATTAATTTCAAAGGCTCATAAGGGGATCTTCTTACTACATCTCTTAAAGAAAAATGTTCTCTTCCGGTCTTTTCTCTAAGACAATTCAAATATTTGTCTTTCCGTATTCCCCAGATGATATCGATGTCCTTTAATACTGAATGAATTGAGTTTCTTGAATTTTTCTTGAGAGTTCAATTTATGAGGGATAAACTCATCCAATTCATCCTCCT